TTGGAAGGCTGAGGCGGAAGGATCGCCAGAGCCCAGCAGGTCGAGGCTGCAGTGGCCAGGAGCGGCCACTGCACTCCAGTCTGGGTGACAGCGTGAGCCTCCAACTCAAAAAAACAAAACAAAGAAAATATTGCAGAGAGAGAATCCAGTGGCTACTATGATTGCGGGAGAGGGCAGGACAGTGAGAGATGTGAATGCTTAGCTTCCACCTACCTGCCGGAATTATCATTGAGAGAAATGGGAAAACAAAAGTAAAAGGCTGAAGAGAAAAGCATCTCTCTATCAAATACGGACCATCCCCGCTACAGAACAAGGAAAAAAAGCCAGAGTTCCCAGGGCCCTCATACCGAAGAATCCTCTCGAACTCATCCCGGTCCCGTTGCACCTGAACGGCCAGTGCATGCTCCTTGAAAGCCACCTGCTCCAGCCGACTCTTCCGCAGCTTGGCCTCAGTTTCCATCTTCTTCTGTGCATTCTCCTTTTCCTTTTTGCGCCACTCTCTGTCTGCGACCTCCTGGTTGCGCTTGGCCCGCAAGGCATCCTGGGAAAGGGGGAATCAGTGAGGGCCCAGATAGCCTCAGGTACAGACTAGGTGCCTTTGGGAAGTCACCTGCTTGCATACCCGACATAGTCTGCTCTGAGAAGCGCTGTGACCGTCTCTGGCAGCAGGTTATTCCAGGAAAGGATAAGCAAAACCCTGTCATAGTACTTTTGGGTCAGAAGATACCTTGAGAGGTCATCTTATCCCTCTACTCCACTCATCCTGCTTCCTTCCCTGTCCCTCAAACACCTCCATGCAGTCTTGCAATTTTTAAATTGCTTCTCATTTTAAAAATTGCTAATGATGGAGATGCCAGAGTTTCCTCTGGTGGCACATTTCATCCGTTGGTGAAAGAAGTTGAACGTTTCTTTATGTTGCAGTCCAAAACTTTCTTTTGCCCCTTAAGCACAGGAGGCAGTGCTCAGTCCTTGCTGCCACAGGCACTGGGAGCCGGCCGGTCACTCCCCTCTCAGATCACAGAAGTCTGGACAACTTGCATCTTCTCTTCTGTTTTCCACCCTTGGCACCGGTTCACAGGATGTCAGAGGGACAGTCAAGGGAGTGGGGCAGGCAGAGGGGAGCCGGGACTCCGTAGGTACCTGTTCTGCCTGGTAGTCCTGGGCCTTCTCCTGCATTGCCCTCAGGCGGGCGATCTCCTTCTCCTTCTCCCTCCGGATTCTCTCCTGCTCAGCCTCAAATTCTGCTTCTCGAGCCTGCCAGAAGAAAAGGCGTTGTGGACTAGCTCAAAGGCATTGTGGACTAGCTCCTGCTGCCCCAGCCCTGCAGAGAAAAGCAGAACCCCTACAACAGATGTGCCAATGTCTCCCCACCACTTCTTGACTCCTTTTATTTTTTTATTTTTTATTTTTAAGTGAAAAAGCAGGATTTATTGAGAGGACAGAAAAGCTCCCATAGCGGGAGGGGACCTGAAGGGGTTGCCCCTTGACTCCTTTTAAAATAGGGCAAAAGGAATTCAGCAATGCATGAGCATAAAAACAACTGGCGTTTGTAAAATGCTCCATGGTTTTCAAAATGCTTTTCCATGTGTTATCGCAGAGGCCTCACAGCATCTCAGGAGACAAATAACTCAGATGAGGAAACGGGAGTTCCCAGAGTCCCAGGGTCCTGCCCAAGGGGGCACAGCCAGTGACTACCTGACAGTATCTGACGCAGGTGTCCTGAGCCCAGCTTCCATACTCCCTCCTCTACATTGCAGATGGTTTTCAAGTTGCAAGGCCACTGGGCCAAGCAGCGGCTATGGCTCCCACCCTCCCTGTAAAGTGTAGCAGGTGGAGGTTATCTCGTCAGTGCCTGGGTTAATGGCAAACGATGTTTTGGGCAGAACGAGGGTGATTGGCAGACAGCTAGAGTGAGCCATCAAAATTAGCTTCCTTTCCGCTTCTCTGAAAGAACAGACATATTCTTAAAAGCTTCCCAAACCTGGTTTCCCAACTGCCATTTTTGAACAGTCATAAGACCAACAGAACAGGTGGGGGGAATATGTCATCTTCCCATGAAGAACCTTCTGTGGCCCTCATCCTACCTACCTGCCCAGACTTCTATGAAGCCCAGTGAGCTGACCCTCTGTGAGCTGTGCATGGCTATGTGTCGGGCTGCTTCCACCTTGCCCTAGATGCAGGGCGGGAAACTCTGGATGCTTCCACAACCAATCTCTGCCTTTAGCTCTGAAGGGGCAGCCCGGCTGCAGGAACAGAGACCACCATGAAGCCAGGGAACGGCCTCTGAGACACCTAGATGCTCACAGTGGCTGGGGGTATGGTCCACGTACCCGAGCTCTTGGCCAGCCTCCAGTCTCTCCCAGCTCCACCCTGATGATATCCTTTCCATGCACGAAGACAAGACCTCTTTCTGTCCTTCCCAGAAACCCATGGCGAGTCTGCACCATTCCACCCTTCTAGCCCAGCTCAAGGTCCAAGACACCCCAGCCACTACTCTCAGCTCGTCACCTCACCACCCTCATTTCTCTTCATGACCATCACAAACACTCTGCTGCAGCCAGCAAACCTGTTCACTAACTCCTACACACAACTGGCTTACAATCACCACCTCACTCATCCAGGGAAGTAGTGGTTGGGTTCCAACAAAGTCTGCAGCATTATTCAGGGACTTTCAGCCTAGTCCAATACTGCACACACATTAATGCAGTCGGTATGTTTTGAATTCATCAATGGCTATGTCACAGGAGTGTTGTAAAGAGTAAATGAGATCACCCATGTAAAATACTTAGCACAGAGCCTACGCACAAAGTGATAAATGACAGCTAAATGCCCATTATTATACAGGAGCCATCTTTGTCCTCAATCCTGCATTCTCTCTCTATCACTTGCATGTCCCTGATCTAATGAGAATACCGAAGCCAATAAATACACTTTGCTGAGCTTCGTTTTCTGTGGTATGTATTAAGAATAAATGGGTGCCCAGGCTCGGTGGCTCAGCCTGTAATCCCAGCACTTTGGGAGGCTGAGTGAGTGGACTGCCTGAGCCCACGGGTTTGAGACCAGCCTGGGTAACTTGGCGAGATCTCATCTCTACAATAAGTCAAAAATTAGCCAGGCATGGTAGCGTACACCTGTAGTTCCAGCTACTTGCAAGGCTGAGGCAGAAGGATCGCCGAAGCCCAGCAGGTTGACACTGCGGTGGCTGTGAGTGTGCCACTGCAATCCTGCCTTGGCACCAGAGTAAGGCTCTAACTCAAAAAAAGAAAAGAAAAGAAAAGAATAAATAGGTATGGGCTGGTCCTGGTGGCTCATGTCTATAATCCCAGCAACTGGAGAGGCCGAGGTGAGAGAATTGCCTGAGCCCAGGGGTTTGAGACCAGCCTGGGCAACTTGGCAAGACCTCGTTCCTGCAACAAATAAAAAAAATAGGTATGGTGGCGCATGCCTATAGTTCCAGCTACTTGAAAGGCTGAAGCAGAAGGATTGCCTGAGCCCAGTAGGTCAAGGTTGTGGTGGCCGTGAGTGTGCCACTGCACTCCAGCCTGGGTAACAGAGGGAGACTATGACTCAAAAAAAAAAAAAATTTACCAGCCGGGCTCAATGGCTCAGCCTGTAATCCCAGTGTTTTGGGAGGCCAAGGTGAGGGATTATCTGAGCCCGCGGGTTCGAGACCCACCCGGGCAACTTGGTGAGACCTCATCTCTACAATAAATAAAAAAAAAAATTAGCCAGGCGAGGTAGCATGCACCTGTAGTTCCAGCTACTTGGAAGGCTGAGGCAGAAGGATCGCCGGAGCCCAGCAGGTCGAGGCTGCAGCGGCCAGCAGCGTGCCACTGCACTCCAGTCTGGGCAACGGAGTGAGACTCCAACTCAAAAAAACAAACAAACAAATAAAAAATTACCCCCAAAATAAAATGAATATAATAAAAATAATAAATAGATATAATTTTAACATATAAATGAATCACTAAATGTTATGCGCCCAACAGATTTTATGAAAAAAAATGACTAACATTGAAATAAAAATGCATTAATTGAAAAAAAGTAATAGGTCGGTCATGGTGGCTCACACCCATAATCCCATCACTTTGGGAGGCCAAGATGAGAGGATTGCCTGAACCCATGGGCTCGAGACCAGCCTGGGCAACTTGGCGAGACCTCATTTCTACAATAAATCAAAAAATTAGCCAGGTATGGTGGCACATGCCTGTAGTTCCAGCTACTTGGAAGGCTGAGGTGGAAGGATCACCTGAGCCCAGCAGGTCGAGGCTGCAGTGGCTGGAAGCGTGCCACTGCCCTCCAGCCTGGGTGACAGAGTGAGACTCCACACCCCCCCCCAAAAAAGAGGTATACCAAATATGCCTTTTCAAATTATACCCACACCCCTCCTTCATTAAGTATCGCTATTATAGAGGAGCAGAGAGAAGGATGATGTGGTTTCTGTCATCAAGGAACTTCAAAATGAGCAGGGCAAGCAAGACCGACATGTGAAGAATCTGGCAAGTTTCCTGCCACCGTGAGTACTTCCTCCTTTTTACGTAATCCATGTCCATTCTACTAAACCGCATTTGAAGCCTTCTGTTGCCTTCCTTGCCTCACAGACCCCTAGCGGGTCATTCCTCAGTTCTGCCCCAGAATGAGTCCACACCATCAGAACCATCTGCAGGGAGAGCGGTTGCACTCTGCTCCCCGTGCGTATGTCCCCAGAGGTGCTACAGGAGAAGCTGGGGCAGGTTCTATTTTCCAAGGCTAGTACCCAACACAGGATGCCCCATATAGGAATTTTCACAAGAGACTCATGGAGCAGCTGACTCATGGTTACCGGGGGTGTAATTATCCGAGTCCCGAGGAACCCACAGAAACCTCACTTTCACCAATAGTTTTAATTTTCTTCTCTGCCTGCACACGACCCTCATCCCAACTTCTAAGAGAATGTGTCCGTGAGGATAATAATACACTAATCTGGGTGTCCTAGGCTGCTCGCTGGTAGGGAGTAAGCGGAGTGGGCAAGCTAGAGAGAAAGCCAGGCCCTGGAACTGGAACTGAGGACACACATCTTAGAATGAAGACGCGCGGCCTTCCGCTGGAGGCCACTTTGTCATCCTTGGACCTGCCTCGCCCTGTGACAGACATTCCATTCCTGGCCAGAAGTCCCAGGCATCAGAAATTAGGTGCCTACCATCTTCTTCTTGGTGAACTCCATCACCATCTGGTCTGCCAGCTTCTCCTGAGCCAGCATCTCTGCTTTCTGTTTCTGGTTTTCGTCATTGATGCGCTTAATCTCGGCTTGCATCTTCAGTTTTTGCTGGTGCCTTCGTTCCATGTCCTGCCAGCAAAAGCAAGAGAGCCTCAGAGTACAGGAGGCAAAACGCCACCGGCCCTGAGGGACAGACAGGCCCAGATGGACCCGAGGGTCAGATATACTGCCCGCAGCCTAGCCATGACTGTCTTTTGCTAAAGCTGATCTTTCGAGGGCCACCAACTCCCTCTTCTACCAAATGACCTCGTTATTGTCTCCATCCAGCTTGACTTTGTGGCCACCCCTGATGCTGCTGACCTTTATGTACTTTCAGGAAATGGAGGCCCTAAAAGCTCCATGCACTGCCCCCAACGTGCCACGCTAAAATCTGTGCCTGGGAATTTGCTCGTGCTGCCTCCTCCTGCCTTCAATTTCCTTTGCCCACTTAAACCCACACTTTAATCTCCTTTCAACTGTGAGAACTGACATAACAAATATTGCTCTAATTGAGCACTCTCTATAGACCAAAAAAGAGATCACTTTCTTCTCTGTCTTTTGCAGACAAAGAAACTGAGGCCCAGCATTGAAGTGACCTGCCCACAGCCACACAGCTGTGTGGCTCCAGAGTCAGAACTTTGAGACCTCTTCTGGCTAGATGAAAATTCCAGCCTTCTTTGGAAATCCTACTCGATTGCCCTGGCTTTCAGTTCCATCTCCGTTTCTGAATTCCCTCTGCACTCTTGGGAGGTGATCACACCCTGCCTGGTTGGATCCCATGCATTTCATATGTGTTTGCTGTGTCCCTGCTAGAGGACAGGGGCCTTGTGTCACACTTCCTCTACTGCCCAACAGCGTGTAGCCATGTAAAGAAAGCAGTAAATATTTTATCAACTATGGCTGCATGAGGCAGAAAAGTAGAACCACAGTGAGTGGCATACGAGAAAGAGAAGGAAAAAAGTCTGAGACCAGGGTACCAGTGTGACCCTGAGTGACAAGGCCCTTCCTAAGGAAAAAGCCTCTGCTTTTCCCAGCCCTGGGCCTTCGAAAGCTCACAATGAACAGACCACTCCTGAGCCCAAGCACATTCTCAGGTCACAACACAGAGGGGCAGTGGGATTCTGTTCAGCTGCGCCCCCTGCCCCCAACCACCCTTGCCAGTCCCAGACCCCTTTGCTGCTGATTCTTCTATGCATCAAGTCACCCCACTCCATGGGTCCAGCTCCCTTCAGCTCTTCAAAGACTCAGTCCCTCCCTGGCCTTCCAGCTCCTCTTCAGCCCGGCATCTGCCCTGATTCGCCCAGCCAAGGTAACTAACTCTGCCTGTGTGTCTTCCTCTGGGGCTGGCTATCTGCCAGCTTGGCTAGCTGCCCAGTTCAGGGCTTCTTCTTCCAGGAAGCCTTCAGAACCAGACCAGCACAGCAACTGTCTGCCTCTGAGGTCCCAAGTGAAATGGTACCACAAGGAAGCAGTCACACACATCCAGAAGCATAGGACAGTCTCTAATGCAACTGACCTGGACACTTCAAAATATTAGTATTATCAGAATGAATGAATAAATGAATGAATGAGGGAAGTCTAGACTAAAGCAAACTAATGAGACTTTAACTGAATGCAGTGCGTAAACCTTTGATAGGAGTCTAGTTTGGAAAATAGAAAAGAGCCGAAAATACATTTTTAGGACAGTTGGGGAAATTTGAATGTGGATTAAGTATTAGATGATGTTATGGAATCATTTGATTAGAGCTTTTGATGGGGGATGTAACAATGGCATTGCTGACATGTAAGAAGAGTGTCCTTGTTCTTCAGAAATGTAGGCTGTAGGCATTTAGTGGCAGAGTGTCACGATATCTGGAACTTACTTTCAAATCATTAAACAACCAAAAAAAAAAAAAAAAAAAAACCATGTATATACTCATACACCTAGAAAGAAATAAGCAACTAAGGTAAATTGTTAGCAACTGGTAAGTCTAGGTGAAAAGTTTATGAGTGTGGCACAATTCTTTCAACCTTTCTGTGCATGTCAAAATTTTTAAATAAAAAATTGAGAAGAAAAAAGAATAAGTTCAGCTGGACTCAGTGGCTCAGCCTGTAATCCCGCGCTTTGGGAGGCTGAGGTGAGTGGACTGCCTGAGTCCACGGGTTCAAGACCCGCCTGGGCAACTTGGCGAGACCTCATCCCTACGATAAATCAAAAAATCAGCTGGGTGTGGTAGCACATGCCTGTAATTCCGGCTACTCGGAAGGCTGAGGCAGAAGGATCGCCGGAGCCCAGCAGGTCGTGTGGCCGGGAGCGGCCACTGCACTCCAGTCTGGGCAACGGAGTGAGACTCCAACTCAAAAAAAAAAAAGAAGAAATTCTCCAAATGCCTGCCAAGGGCCTCACTGGGCTCAAGGGTTTTGTGCATTGTTATGGACCAGATAAGGCAGATAGAAGAGAGTTGTTTAGGCCTTCTTAGTTTCAGCAGGCACATTATCATTTCTTTTGCAATAGTCATGTCTGCTAATTTTATTTAGACTAACAGGAAGAAAAGGTTTGGCTTCACAACATAACTGATGACAACGGGATGCTGTGTACTTTGAATGAGGTAACAGAAGGGAGCCTGGATCTGAGATATTGCTGCCATTCATGTATCAAGTGAATAACATCCCCAGGTAATTGAGGAAGACTATAAAACCTCCCTGTGTTCAGTTGTGCAAAGCATGCAGCCATAGATCTCCTCTCCGTGTCCATTCTCATCAATAGGCCATTCTTGGACCCAAGTCCCTGGGAGGCAGAGACAATATCCATCCAAATCACTGCTCATTCCCAGCATGACGCCATGGTAAAATCAATGTTTAACACGGCAATAAAAAGTTGATGGTGATGATGTTGTGAAATGAGCATGTGCCTGACAGAAAGTCAGTCAACACCCTGAAGCCCCAGAATCGTGGCGGGCCCTGTTGCTGCCGGTGGTGAAATGCTGCATTGTCTGTCCAGCCTGTTACCCTCAGATCCTCCTCCTGGAGCTGTTCCATGTACTCCAGCATCTGCTCCTTCTCCTGCTCCCGCTGCTCAGCCAGGAGAGATCGCTCCTCCTGGTTCTTCTCCATCTGTTCCACAATGTGCCGTTTTCCTCTGGGAGGGAACAGTGCCACAGTGTCTTAGAAACGAAGGGTCCCTGTCTTTCTGCTCTAGCCTCCACCCAAATAGCCCTTGGGATGGGAGGTGTCACAGGAACAATTTGACAAGTGCCCCTTGAACATCGATATGCTTCATGGGTGCAGACCAAAGTCCTTCCCCAGAATATCCTCAAGGGTCTGCCCTGTTTCTTCTGAGTTCTGGGTTCTGGAAATCACCCGTCAGGAGATGCCCCTTCTTCATTTGTTTGCCCATAAGTGCACCCCACAGCATAATACACCTTACCTTCTCCCTTCCAGTATGTAAAGTTTCTGAAATCCCACTACACCCTAGTCTTCCCAGAGTAATTGCAGAATGCTCACTTCCCAGAGTTCCATGGGATTAACAAGCCAGGACTTTCAATTCCTTGAGTGCTTCTGCCATCACACAATTTAACTTGCCTTCCCACCCCACCTCCCACATCTTGGTGGGCAACGATCTTTCTTATATTCTGCCTCAGATGTAAGACTGTCAGCTGCTGAAAGACAGGGCTGGATGTGTCTGAGGAAGTCTCTCCACTCAGCAATGCCCTGGCTCAACAGTTAAAAGCAAGGAAAATGGGGTCTCCAGGTAGTGTTGTCAGGGACTCCTTAGGCGTTACAACAAACTTGGAAGCATCTAGACCCCGGGCCACATGAGTAAAGGCTGGAAGAATGGGAGGAGACACAGATCTGGATCAAGGGGAAGATATGAGATTCACATTTAGGCAGAGCACCTGGATGACTTCTGACTCTAGATGAGACAAACAGGAGTAATAAGTTTGAAATTACGTAGAAACAAGTTTGGGCTCAATATGGACCAGCTCAGATCATTCCAGTTGCCTCCTCAGGTGGAAGTTTTTTCTTCACTGGAGCCATTTATGCAGAAGATGGACAGCGACGTGGCCACTAAATAAGCTTTTACTGGGAGATAAAACTGCCACTCAATGTGGCACAAGGATTATTTACAGAGGCAATTCATGTACTGTATGGCTGGTGTTCTAAATCTAGGACACTATTATTCTATAACTTACCTGCTCTGGGACTTGCCCTTTTCTGCACAAAATGAAGAATAGACTGAATTTATTCATTCTAATGTGAATTAAGCACCTACTGCAGGCCAAACACTCTGCTAGGCCCAGAAGCTACAGCAGTAAATAAAACGGGGACCCTGTCCCCAACGACTGCACCATTCCGTGAGGATCGGAGAGCCCCAACACAAGAGTGGTAGCTAGAATATAAACACAGAGAGAAGGGGCACAGGGGAGGTAGATACAATGCCCGCCTGGTGACATGAGGGAGGTTTCTCAGGAGAGGCTACAGCAAAGATATATATTTAGGGAAGGAGAAAGCATTTTCCAAGAGGAAAGGGACAGAGAAGGGTATACAAAAAAGCCATTAGCGTGTGACAAGGCCCAGCATGTTGGGAGAACAGGAGAAAGCACAGACCAGATGGTGGGAAGTGGTGAGGAATGACACTGAATTAGCCAGACTGTGAAGCACCCATTAGGATCCTGAAATAAGCTTCAAAAAGTTCTGTGATTCTATGCGTCACTTCACAGAGGTTTTGAGATCCCAGCAGATGCTGATAATGACCATTTCTCCTCTCTTCTCTCTTGGCTGGGACACACGGACCTAATGACATGTGGAAATGGCGGCAAGAGGGAGACACCAAAAAGACCCGTCTTACCGTATTCTCTCCTCCCTCCTCTTCCTGTCCTGCTCCTCCTGCCTTTGAATGAATCTCTGCCGTTCCACCTCCATCATCTGATCCAACCGCTTCTCCTCCGTGTCCAGTTCTTTCTGGATCTGCCGCTTCTCCAGGATTTGGGCATCCCGGATGGCGTGGCACTTGGCGTTGAGGATGATCTGGAGGGTGGAGACAGAACTGTGGCAGCAGGCCTGAGGGCAGAAGTTTAAGTGGGGAGAGATTGGGGCATGTATGACACTGCCAAATGTGCTGAGGATGTGCACGGTGCTCACAAGTCCAGAGAAGCCAGAGTCCCCTGATGTTTGCCTTTCCCCTTAAGATAGTTTAGCCCAAGCACTTATGGGGCTCCTACCAGGTGCCAGGGTCTGTGCAAGGAGAGGCCTGGAATAGCATCTTTCAGAGTACCCCATCCTAGTGTTCTGGGGGTAATGGATCACCCTGTAGAAACATGACGAAAGCTATGGGCACGCTCTCCATCAAATTCACTTACATATATACACACACAGTTTCCATAAAACCTCGGAGGGCCATGTTCCCACTTAGGGTCCCATGAACTCCAAGTTCCAAGTGAAGACCCCTTGATGGCTCCTCCAGAAAGCTAAGACGCTCATGCAGAGGTCAGGTCACAAGATTTTTAAGCTCAGAGAGCCCAACGTGACACAAAACAGGGTGAAAAACCATGGACTCAGCAATAAGAATCCAAAAGTCAAAGTGCTGGAAAATTAAAGGAGGTATAAGAAGAGAAAATTTACCGGAAAGATGGAAACCAGAGGTGAGGGGGCTGCCGAGTCAGCATTTTCATTTGGCCAGGAAGTGAGCCACATGCAAACGAGTTACAAAATAGAATCCCAGTGAGCCTCTGGTCTTTATGCTCTCAGCTAAAGGAAGCACTCTGGACACTCCCCAAAACGTCCAATGCCTTGACTGCCATGTGTGGCCAGAATTGAACGAGTAGGATGAAAATAAAAGTAACACCCTCATGTGTTTTCATCAATCCACAGTCCACAAAGGCTGGGCTCTCCCATCTATTCGCTTATTTAATCCTGCCAGTAATTCTGCTAGGTAGTTTTACCAGCTTCATCTCACAAATGAAAAGAGTGAGGCTCACGGAGGCCCAGCGACTTGGCAAAGCCACCTCCCTCCGATGCCAGCCCCTACTGTGCCCGGTGCGGGTCTCCCCGCCATCCCCACCAGCCCCTCACCTTGTCCAGAGTGGACGAGAGGAGGGAGGAGGGGGGCGGCAGGGAGGCCCACCTTGCTCATGTCCTTGAGCTCCTCCTCCTGCTCCATCCGCAGCTTGTTGGCTCTCTCCAGGAGGTTCTGGGCCCGCTCCTTGGCCACCTCCTCCAGGTCACTGAGCTTCTTATTGCTCTTCCACACCATTTCCTTCTGCTTCATGATCTTCTTGCGCGTTGCCACGGCATCCTAAAGGAGACCAGTCTGGCGCTGGGGGTCACTCTCCCTCCTCTGTGCCTGGCCGTGAGCCCAGCTCCCACAGGTGACCCAGTGCACCTTGGCCTCTGCCCCTCATGCCATGTTCCCCAGGCCAGCTTCATTCTCCGCCCTCCCCCGGCCCCAGTGGCGCCCATATCCCATCTCTTTCGTTCTGGTCCTCTTTCTGTACCTTCTTCCCTAGAGCACATTCCTCCCCCACGCATTCCTAGCCTGCCACCCATCTGCAGAGGTAGAGGCCCCGGGAGGTCAACTACCATGATGGCTTCCTTTTCCTTCTTGAAGGCCTGCTCCTTGGCCTCCAGCTCTTCTTTGGTCAGGATGTGGGATGCCCATTTGATTCGCTCAAACTCCTCGGGGCTGATGATGAGGGACTCCCCTGAGGGATCCTCTGTGGGAATGCTGACATAGGAAGGAACAGAGTTAGGGAGGGAAGGGGGAAAGCTCCTGGCACCGTACTTCAGGGGCCTCTGCTCGCTTCCCCTGCCGGAATCATGCCAACCCTCAAGCATGGGCTCAGCCGATGGCAGGAGAGACTGCAGCAGTGCCATGGGTCTACTGGGGAGAAGGGGATCCAGGGGAGGATCAGGCAGCACTGCCGGTTAAAAAGAGACATTTCAAGTCCTTTTCCTACAAGGTCTAGCTCTTACGCTACCATCTCTGTGCAGTTGCCTGAGACCTCCCTTCATGCTCATGTATGCCCACCCCCCACCACCACACCCAATAGGGCACCTCCTCCTCTGAACCCCAGAGCACTCTGTTCTTACTGCCTGCATCATGGCCAGTAGGGCAGGGTCTGTTTTCTTTGCAAGCTCCTTCACGACATGAACTCTGCCTTGGCCACATGGTAGCCTAGTCCCCGGCACAGTGCTTGGCACAGAGTGACAACTCAAAACGAAACTGTTGAGTTGAACTTTAAAAGTAGATTATTCCTCATGGATGACATAAAAAGAGCCAGTGGACGCCGGGCAGGGCTAAAATGGATGCTGCTGAGAAACCTAAGCTTCCCTGTCCAGCCAACTTAGAGAGAAGCTTTGAACCCTAAATATTAATTAAAACCTCTGATCAACAATAGCTGGAGACCTGTCTGTAGACCCCTCCTTTCTAGCTGCCCAACGCATTCAACAAACCAATAGCTAATTATAATGATTACAAGCAAATGACAGACATTAAAGATGGGGGAGGGAGCAGTGGGGGGGTTGGGAATGAGGCTGCTTCTGGGTGAGGCTGTTTAACAGGCACATTCCGACAGGACACAGCCAGTCTGAGACAGGAAGTGAAGCCTCACCTAATAAAACGTGTGCGTATGTTGGTGGGGGCATCCAGGCAGTGGGCAGAGTGAGTGAATGAGTGGATTCGGGGCTCAGCCAAGGTCTTGCAAATCACCCAGTGGCAGGCCCCAAAACAGCCTGGGATCGAGAGTGACCAGGAGGAATCTGAATCTAAGACAGCAGCTCGTGCTGCCTTCAACGGCCCTGAAAAGCAACCAGCCACTCGATGGGCAACGCGTGTGCAAGACTGGGCTGCCGCGAGCAGGAGGCCTTCCTTGGGCCCCAGGGGGCTGCGGAGCTCACAAATGGACATGGGGCCATTGGACGTGTTCAGGAGGGGCTGAGTCCTGTGCAACACCCAATCTCTACCCCGGCTCATGCCACTGGCAGCACTGTCTGGGAATTTAAGCTCTTAGCGGGTGGTACCAGAGAAAGGAGAACAGTGATAGAGAGTGAGGCGTTCACACGAGAGCTAGACCACCGAGCCCAGCACTGGCTCATTATGCCTAACTGCGAGAGGCCTAAATCCCGCAGGAGGGACCCGAGCGGGGAGCAGCTCCAGCCAGGAAGCGGGGCTGAGCTAATCCCAAAGGAACCCAAGGAGCCCCTGTAAATTTCCTCTTATGGCCTCAGAGGAAGCCAGGGCGTAATTAGGCATCTGGTCAGTTTCCCTTTGCTTCGGATTCTTAATGCCGCCACCGAAAGGAAGTGACTCATCTGAATGATTTCCCCTTACCCAGAGCACTGATGGGGACACAGAGAGGACCCACTAAGCACTACCACTCTGCCAGACCCGTAGATCTAGTCAGGAAAAAGGGAGGAGCAAAAAGCTGGGAACAGAGGAAAATGGCAACAATAAATACATCAAGGGGCGGACAAGAGAGGCCAGGACAGAGGAAAAAGAACCGGGAGACAAAAGGGGAAAAATGAACAGGAAAGAAGTGGGGGCTGGACCGACAGAATGAAGCCAGTTGGGTCTCCCCACCGCCCTGTGAAGATCCCTAGCAGAAGGGCAGGGACTGTGTGCCCAGATGCTCACATGAGTTCTCGGACCATGTCCCGGGTGATGACTTGGATGGTCTCCGGCTTGTGGTCCACACCCAGAGTAGTGAGAGCTTTTCGAATGGTGTTCTTGTCCCGGAGCAGCACAATGGGGCTGTCCCTCTGGCCCTGGGCCGGGGGCTACAGGGTCAGAAAGGACAGTTTAGAAGTCTATCACCCCACTTCCCACGGGACAGTCCTAACTCCAAGTGTAGAATATTGTGGTATGCTTTATCTGAGCATGACTGGTGTGTTCTCGACTGACTAGCCCTTCTGAGAACTAGACCTCTTGTCTCTGTGTGGAAACTCCCCGTAGCATGGTAGGGGTCGTCGGGGGCACAGCAGGTGTTGGTAGTTGTGTGTGTCTATAACCAATCTAAAATCATCAAGAGGCTGAGCACAGTAGCTCATGCCTATAATCTCTGCACTCTGGGAGTCGTGAGGTTCACTTGAGACCAAGAATTTGAGACCAACCTGGGCAACATAGCAAGATCCCATCTCGATAAAAATAAAAACAGAAAATCATCACAAATGAGAGTCAATTTTTCATCTCTAGATTCTCCTCTCTCTATGAAAGCTTCTACTGCATGAAAGAAGAAATAATTGTCTCTCTGGGACCACACAGTGGGTTTGAAGCAATATAACTTGTTACAGACGAAAACAATCTATGATATAAGTAATTTTAACTTCTTTCTAATGATGAACTCTTTGAACCCCCCAAAAGACCATATTGAGGGAGTTAGAAACGGCTAAATCACCGGGCTCAGTGGCTCAGCCTGTAATCCCACGCCTTGGGAGGCTGAGGTGAGTGGATTGCCTGAGCCCGTGGGTTCGAGACCTGCCTGGGCAACTTGGTGAGACCTCATCTCTACAATAAATCAAAAAATTAGCCGGGTGTGGTAGTACACGCCTGTAGTTCCAGCTACTTGGAAGGCTGAGGCAGAAGGATCACCAAAGCCCAGCGGGTCGAGGCTGGAGTGGCCACTGTACTCCAGTCTGGGCGACAGAGTGAGACTCCAACTCAAAAAAAAAAGAAACAGCTAAATCACCTGGTAGAGACCTGCCCTTAAGCTCTAATAGGGTAAGGAAATCAGTGAGTTAGAATTCAATAAGAGCCGGGCTCGGTGGCTCAGCCTATAATCCCGTGCCTTTGGGAGGCTGAGGTGAGTGGATTGCCTGAGCCCGCGGGTTCAAGACCCGCCTGGGCAGCGAGACCTCATCTCT